ATGTAGTGCAATGTATGTGGTAGAATCCATGTGGTGCAATCAATGTGGTATACGATATGTAGTACAATCTTAATGGTGCAATATACGCAGTTGGATCTATGTGGTCTGCGATATGTGGCGTAAGCTATGCGTTACAAACCATGTTGTGTGAGCTCTGATGAGTGGCCCACGCAGTGTAAGCTATGGGGCGCAATATTTGTGGTGTGATCTATGTTGTGAAAGCTGTGCAACCTTGGTACTCTGGAGGCCACACTGGCAACAAGCCGCAAAAAGGCAGAGACGGGCGCCGACAAGCGGCGACGGGGCGGCGAAGGGGCGACCACAAGCCCACCAGGGCGGCACACGAGCCCGCGACGAGGCGGCAGAGGGCGGCGACGGGCGGCGACGAGCGGCGACGGGGCGGCGAGGCGGCGACGACTGGCAGCGGGGCGGCGGCGGGGCGAGAACGAGCCGGCGGGGGCAGCAGACAAGCCCAGGTCCTGCGAAGACAATTTTTGATCCGCGGGTCAAGAGCGCACCTATTCCGGTCGAAGCTAAGCGGGCCGCGCGAAGCTTGAATTAGGCAGAGAACGTCCTGCGAAGACAACCAAGAACGCCGAAGTGCAAGCACTGTTTGGGGAATTGCCGACTCCAAAGAGCATAGAAAGTCTGCAGCGCCCGGGGGGCCCATCAGTGTGCTACGGCCACGGTCGGGGAGCAGCGAGTACAGAAAGGAGAGGGCGAGAGGGGAGGGGGAGCGAAGGAGAGCGAAGGAACGCAAAGGAGGAGCACCTGCGGGGGTGAGGAACGGGAAGCCGAAAACGGAGACCAGGGAGAGGAAAGGGGGGGATATATGTTCAAGGGTACCCCCCCCGCTGGATGGGTACGCCCGCGAGCCGCGCTAAGGCCTCGCGAATGGGATCGTTCCCCCCTGTGTTCGTGGCCCTGTGGGCGAGGCGTGGCGGAGGGTGCGGTGCAACCCCCCCCCCCTCCCCCCGTGTACGCCCGCGAGCCTCGCTAAGGCCTCGCGAATGGGATCGTTCCCCCCTGTGTTCG